TAATAAAACCAGGCTGGGTGTGCCAGCACCTCAGACCACTGCTTGACCCTCAACACGGAGCCTTGTCTCGTCTTTGGGAGGATTTACTGTATGCTGCTAAGGACTGATTGCCAGGAGTGTAAGCCGCTTGGAAGCTTTTCCTGTTCGCCTGCTAGCAGCTATTCGTATGGTTCCTGTTCGTTTATTTGAAGTGCTACCTTATTCCCTTGTATGCCGTTCGGGAGTTTGGAGCATTCACTTATTGGCGGTTCGTGAGTTTTGGTGATTCTACAGTAGCTGTGCCTGTCTCTAAAAGGGGGATTATCGTCTAAGCGGTTTTTACCCCTTGTGTGCAAAACGGTCCGTTACATTCTGCATTGTGGGTTGGTTTCCATGAAAGCTCATTTTGACTTTTTTCTTACCTCCAGAACGGATTAATTGGTTTACAATGCATTCCTATGGGAAACCGCGTTTCGGTTTACAAATTTTTCGCAATAAGAAATGTCCCGGAGAACGCATTAAATTTGTAATTGTATGTTGTAATGTATAACTTGAAAGTCTTTTATAATTATTATTAAAATTATTGTTAGTAGTTTGTTGATTCATAGAAAAACTGCAATTTCTGGAGAAAAAGGAGAATTTTCCCCAATAAATAAAAGTGTGATTGTTTCAAAGTGTAGGCTTCCAAAATAACCTGAAACACCATAGTACTTTTTATCTTAAGGAACACTACTGCAGCTTATTATATTGGGTATAGTGCTAGGAAATTGTCCCTGAAAATGTGCAGTTTAAATACTCTCTGTTTTCTGGTAGCATTTTGGGAAGTATCATTCATCTCAGTCCTGTGATGTGAGATCAATGCCTGGGTTGTGCAGGATACCATGTTGCGCATGCATTCCTCAGTGCCACAAGTGGAGTAAACTGATGTGAATAGAGTGAATGTACTATGTGCTTACATACTACACTGCTCACATGAAAAACAAAAATATCGGTAGACAGGAAGCAGAGTCTGAGTGCTGGAAATTAAGATGAAAATAAAGAAAATGGTGAGAGTGTAAACTGTCAGTTTGCAGGTACAGCTTCATAGCACCATGACCACTGCACTAAGCCAGGCTTTGCTTGGTAACTACAGTTTACAGATTTTTTTTAAAGGCTTAAGGCTGGCACACCTTAACCTTTATTCTCTCTTATCCCTAAAACCTCGTAAGCGTTATACTATCTTTAACTATTCCCAACACTACAGAGAGCCGCAATCTAAACTTTCCCTGAAACTTTCCCTAACCTTCCTTTAGTGATGTCTTTATGTCTCTATTGGTAATATTCTACAGTGACCTGACAATTATCTATTCACTGCTTATTTTGGCCTCAATTTATTATTGTCGGATAAGCTTTTCAAATCATTTCATATTTTTTTTTAATAAACTTTTTATAAAAATTATGTAAACTGTTAAAAAAATATCTCAATATTTTACTACGATGATATTTTCAAGTTATACTGATTCTTTTTTTTACAAGATATCATTTTTTATATTTAAATTTTTTTTAAAGAAATCATTTTAAAGTTTATCCAAAAATATTACCTTGAGGCCTTTATTTGTATAAAAGATGTTATAGTATTTTTTTTTTTTAAGAAAATCAAATAACTTCAAATCAATAAATTTAAAGAGGCTCTGCCATCAGATTTTTTTCTTAAATCTATCTAAAATATTCCCACCTAATTAAAATTATTTTAATCGAATAAATATACAGTGAGATTGGCTATAATTACCAGTTACAGTGATGACTGTTTTTAAGGTAGATGTAGCCATCTTGATATTGCACCATCATTTTAAAATCTTCGTTGTGTGTTTCTGATATAAACATGTTGCGGAGCAGATGGAAGGTCACCAGCCAATCCGGATCATGAAGTTGATAAGTTCGAAGGATTTCATGATGCAGGGAAGAAGGTATTCTTGAATGAAACACTTCACTTAAAGTACGTAAAATTACATCAACAAAAAGTAAATATTTCTTAATAAAAACTATTAAAAAATGTTTTAAAACAGTGGTGGACACAGGTTTAAGATCCCAGCTGTTGCAGAATGATATCTCCCAATTTACGTTCCCAATTGTAAATAATCTAACCTAAATATCTCACAGTTGGGTATCTACCTTTTAGTCACCCTTTCAACACCATGGGACTGGACGGATTAAATGGTCATTGACTTGAAGTCCTGAATTAGCTAGACACATGGATTTTTTACTTTCATCTAAATACACTGCAATAACAAACCGTTATTGTAAAATCATGACATATGCTTTCTATATGGCGTTCCAGCCTCAGTAAAACATGGCATGTGTCCCTCTTTGTTACACTCAGTTAAATAATTAGCAATTTGCCTATATTGGTTGAAAATTCCTGCCAATAAATTGCAAATTGCTTCTCTGAAGACTTAATTTTGCCATTAAAGCAGAGCCTGTAAGTGTGCTGTGATTACTTTGTGTTATTGCTTGGTTTGCTCTCTAGATATAGAGAAAAGAAAATAGTTAGAATACATATTGCACCATAGAGAATGAGCGTACAGAAAACCTCCCCTAGATTAAGAACTTCAAACAGGTTCTCCATAGAAAGGACAATGGGAGTAAAACATATCTTGTGACACAAGTTTAATTTGCATATGCACACGTAATAAAACGTTCTTTCAGCATGGTGGGCTATAGTCTTTGCAACATTAATTTTTGTAGATGCTTTTTATCATCTCTCCAAATGGTTCTTAAATAGTGATGTCCCGAACGGTTCGCCGAACGGCTCGCGAACGGTTCGCCACGAACCGTTCGCCACGGACTCATCATTGAGTAAACTTTGACCCTGTACCTCACAGTCAGCAGACACATTCCAGCCAATCAGCAGCAGATGCCAATCTTTTATCTTGAAGACCTAGCCTGACTGTCCCACTTAAACAGGAAACAGCAGTACTTTGTGTATCCCAACTGCATGCCCAACGGTAATGCAATCACCTTCAGGTCTCAATAGATCTGCCATTGGTGGTCTTTGTACATAATTGTGTCCAGAAGTAATTTCATATTTTCAGATGTTTCCTTCATGTGGATAGCATGGCCTACAGGTGTTGAAAGAAGGGCATTGCATTGTGCAGCAACACAGCTTTTAAACTAGGTTTGAGGTGTCTACAAATAGCTTCCAGTTCTGTAGGTTATTTTGCTTTTTAGAAATGTTAGCAAATCTTTTTACCGACTTCTGTACACAGACACTATGTAATTTTGTATAAGATTCCACTGTTGGACCTTGATCCTAGAAGTTCCATTTTGTCTTTTAATAGCTCCTGATCTTGAATAGATTAGTTAGTTCACTAAGAGTAATTATGTATGGCCCACTCAATGACTTAGTGTCACAATTTCTATATGGCCCAACACTCAGAACTATGTAACATATAATAGAACACACAAGGAACAAGGACAACATATACCGGACCTTAGAATGGCCGGACTTAACGTAAATAAAAATGGTCAAAATACTAGCTGAGGTCAGGGACACAGAAAGAGACACAATGAGGAAGCAAGCCAAAGGTCAAGAATACCAGAATGAGGGAAAATCAAAAATACAAGTCAAAATCAAATACCAAAAAAAACTAGAACAAAAACGCACTCTCTGACAACCAAGTAGTGGAAACCATGACAGGGCATTGACCAAATAAATGACCTATAGACTGTAAGCTCGTTTGAGCAGGGCCCTCTTCAACCCTTCGTTTCTATGAGTTTTCTTTTAATTGTCCTATTTATAGTCAAATCCCCCCTCTAATAATATTGTAAAGCGCTACGGAATCTGTTGGCGCTATATAAATCACAATAATAATAATAATAATAACCCTCCTAAGGTTATGATTGGTTGTACATCGCCATTGACCCTAAAATGTGCGTGACCGTCGTTTGTGTGACGTCGCACCATCTTTGTTGAGGACAGAGGCTATAATGGTTTGTGGGACCGCTGCGGCCTGCGTTCATTATAACGCCGCACTGGCCGGGGATAGCTCCACAAGGGTGATGGATGGCAAGCTGACTTGCGTCCGATAAAGAATTAATTTTTTAACAGCATGACCGCAGTAATCGGATGCGGCCACACTGTTTGGAGGCGAGGGGGGGTGACACTTAGGTTGTGGCACAAAATCAGGATCCTGTGAAAATGAAGACTCAGGTGATTTCTCCTTTACAATGTCCCCATCTTAATCTGCCAGCATACTGTACTCTTTTGGAGGATGTGGTACAGGCAGATTATCCCAATGTGGCATTGGTCAGATGACTGATGGAATGTTGGGGTATTCCAGACTCCACTTGTGTTTTCTTGACATGCCCTGCTTAATAGTAGGCACCATGCAGAAATAGCAGTCATTTATATAATTCATGGCCTCTCTCCAAATCATTGGGATGACAAAAGGCATTGAGCATCCTTTTTTATTTAACCATCCACATAAATGCACTAAACATGTATTGCAACAAATATGAGGTGCACAGAATTTGCCCTGATCCCTCTCTATAGTCAAAAATAATGGCGGGGGGCTGTCTTCACGAATGGAGTAATTGGGTGTTTCTGGGTGGAAAATGTCAAATCACCACACACATAACAAAAATCCTCAGTAATGTTGACAAATTTACATGGCATACTGGCTTTCAATGTGAAGCATTACCACAAAATTGAAAACAAGGAAAGGAACAAAACTCTAACCGTCAATTAATGCAAACTATACACAGACAAAAAAACATAACAAATCCTACAGTGACTCATGACTCCTGTACTCAGGTTAACCTTGTCCTTTACTCCATACCCATACCTATAGGGCCTATATCATCATACATGGGCTATATTTCGGAACTGAGTGTTAACGGAGAGTTTTTTTTTTTTTTAAATTCTTTATTTATAGCGTGCAAAGAAATAACATTATGTTCAGTAAGCCACAACAGCCTCTGCACATAGATCGATAACAAGACATACAAAACAGGGTTATGGCATTTGTATATATCGCACATTTTAAAGATTTTATGGTAGCTTAGCTTTCAGGTTTACCAGTAGATGTCTGGGGCTACTGTAAAGGGAGAGTGGTTGACCTTTGCTTAAACATAGGCAAGTGACTAAGCATTGTAAGGTAGTACGGTGAGTGAAGTATTAGTAGATGCATTGAGCATCATTGGTCCTGTCTTACACTTAGGCAAAATTGTAGTCAGTCGGGTGTGTTGATTATCAATTTACACTCAGTTACCCCGGAGTGTTGGGGGGGGGAGGAGATGGGGAGGTAAGCGGAGGGGTGTCTGTGTCCTCTAATCGGGACATACTGTAAGAAGTGTGCGGTCGCCTAGGGTCATCTGTATTATTTATGACCCGGGAATTCTAACAGTGCCGGGCGGTGCGAAAACAGTAAAACGATAGCATTTAGACATATAGCATTTAAACATTGAAACATCGGGGGTTAACCAGTGACTGGTACTGGTGTGGGAATCAGTCCAGGTCTTTGTGACTGCTGGTGCTTCATCAGTCAGCCGGTGTCATCTGCAGAGCGTGGGGTAAAAGGGACAATCCTGCGTATGTCCCATCTGTGACTTGGACGTGCCGTGTTGTCAGAAGATATGGTAAGGCCCAGTCCTTGCAGGAATGTCGCTGATTCCTCTGCTGTGGAGAGCTGATGCATGCTCCCGTCTTTCTGGACTATTAGAGCTCGAGAGGGCCCCCATTTGTAGCTGACGTCTGCAGAGCGTAGGATCTTTGTCACCTGATGAAAAGACCGTCTCCATTCCAGAGTGGAGCGGCATAAGTCCTGTAAGAGTTGGAGTTGCATTTCCTCAAACTTGAGAGGTGTTCTGGATTTTGCAGCATCCTGCAGTGCCAGCTTGTCGCGAAATAGCGGGAAGCGTATCAGGACGTCTCGGGGAACCCCAGCCGGGGCCCTGTTTGACTTGGCCAGTCTATAGCAGCCGTCTACCTGAATGCTCTTCGCAGAGCGCTGTGGTAGTAGAGTAGTCCATAGTCGGCGTAAGAAATGGGGCAGTTCCTGGTCGGTAATTGATTCGGCTATACCCCTGATTTTAAGATTATTACGCCTCCTTGCGTCGTCCTGGGTGTCCAGTCTGACCTGCATGCTTTTGTGTGATGCTTGGAGCTGTAGCAAGTGTTCGTTGGTGCTTTCTTGCTTTTGGGCTAGGGAGGTTATGGCATCCTCGTTAGCCTGCATTCTTGCTGTCACCACTGTGATATCTTCACGCATAATATTCAAGTCTGCATTGAAGAAAGCTCTTATGTTCGTCAATAGAGCTTTGATGTCCCCTTTTGTAGCTGGGGCTGTTAGGTCTTCCTCTCTTTGAGGGCTGTTCATGCTCCCTGGACAGGGGATTTCATCAGGTGCGTCTAGGGTTTCTTCCTCAGAAGATGTAGAATAGGCGTCTATGTGCGGCGCCATTTTGGGCCTAGGCCGCGGCTGTAGGAGGTCGGCAATATCGCGGGAGCCGTTCCCGGTAAGGGTTTTTAGCTTTTTCGCCTTCTTCCCCATTGTGAGCTGTATTGTTTGACCCGGTCCCGGGCTGGTTTAGGGTAGGTAGGTGCCCCAGTACTTGCCGTTTATTTTGCCTGCCGCGGGAGCTTAGCCGACATGCGTCTGCTCCCTTCAGCGTTGAAGCCACCTAACGGAGAGTTTTAAATGCCATATTCGTTTTTCGCATGCTGGAATGAATTGTAAGTATTTTTAAGTCAGAAACATTTTCATTGTTGAGCAGTGTGGTCAAACCATTTGCAAACAGTTTGACAACTTACCTAGAGTCCACTGGGCTTTGATCATGTCCTCCAATGAGCCAGGTCTGCTTGTCAAGACTTACCTCAGGGGAGCACTGCTTGACCCATAACAACTACAGATGTCTGCAGTCCTGATGGTGTGTGGAGTCTTCCTTTATTGTACAGTTCTGTTTATCGGAAGTTAAAGGTTCTATGAGATTGGTGCAATTCCACAGTTGAAACATGCTAATTATTGTTCTATAAATTTCTTTCAGGGAGTTTATAGCTATTATACTGCAGAAAGTTTGTTTTCCTGGATGGAGAGTCTGTTTGTGGCATAGTTTCCATCTAATCTTTAACAAATGATTCTCTTTGACCTGTGTCAGTGACTTGCTGAGTCAAATGTCATCATTCTTCTGGGTACCTCCGTCTTAGTGCTGCGCTTACAAAAGGAATGTACATACATACAGCTACAAACAGGTCACCATCCCAGCCCTCCTGGTTTTCTGAGCTAATGTGCCCTTTGTAATGCTAATCGCTCCTATTCATCCACTTGCAAGGTTTGAAAAGTAAAAAGAACCAATTAGAAACAATTTAGAACATTGTCTTATTACAATGATAGTATTCTACAGGCTTCTTGTTTCATTTCTGGAAATGCTTGTAATTCATTGCTTCCACATTAATGGAAATATGTGCCCCCCTCCCTGTTATAAAAAAAAAAAAAAACAACCTCTTTTGGTTTTGTTTCATCAGGAATGTTTAACATTAAACCCTTCACAGGCACCATGCCTACCATACATAGTTATATATGTAAAAACACTTTAATTATAGATACACACACATTTGTGATGAGATGAAAAAGTTCAAAGAAAATAACTGATGCTGACAAGCAGATCACTAAATAAAAGCAAGCACCATACAAAAAGTTAAACTTTCAGCTCACCATCCATGCCCACCTATACCCTGGTTTTATAATGCAGCCAGTCACACCAAGTCTCTCCCTCGCTCCGCTGGTACTGCCTAGTGCCTATCCTCTGCCTCCAATCGCCAAGAAGATTGTCTGTACGAGGGCTGGGAGTTGTAGTTTTCTGCTGAGCTAAAGCTGGGTTCAGGCATTTTCTGTACCCGGCTGAACTGACAGGAAGTGCTCTCTCAGTGAGCATCTCCTGACAGTCTGGCGGGGTACAGGAAACAGAAGCTCCTGTACCGCACTCCGCTCCATCATGCTACACTCAGTGGTGTATACACACTGACAGTCACACACGTACACTGACAGACACTCATTGACAGTCACACACAGACTCAATGACAAACATACTCTAACTGAATTGACAGACACTCACACATTGACAAACACACACAGTGACAGACACACTCAAACACTGACAGACACACAAATGCACTCACACGCACTCATATGCACACACACACACACACACACACACACTCATACACTCACAGACACACACGCTTCCATCTGCGATCACTAGAATCATGTGCCCCCAGAGCCGGTGCAACCTAAGGCAACCACCTGTACCACCTTATGGACACGTCGGCCCTGGATTTAGGGTGGCCTGGGGGGCAATTGCCTCCCTACCCCCCGTCCCATCTCATCCCTGGGCTTGGGGGAAGGGAATGAGACACATGGAGGGGGGAGTGATACACATGGAGGGACTGTGGGGGGAATGAGAAACATGGAGGGGCTCGGGGGGAGGGAATGAGACACATGGTGGGAGAAATGAGACACATGGAAGGACTTGGGGGAGGGAATGAGACACATCGAGGAACTTTAGGGAAGAGAATGGAGGGGCTTGGGAGAAGGGAATGAGACACATGGAGGGAGGAATGAGACACATGAAAGAGCTTGGTGAGAGAATGAGACACATAGAGGGGCTTGGGAGAAGGGAATGAGACACATGAAGGGGCTTGGGGAAGGGAATGAGACACATGGAGGGAGGAATGAGACACATGAAAGGACTTGGTGGAGGGAATGAGACACATGGAGGCGCTTGGGGGAATGGAATGAGGCACATGGAGGGAGGAATGAGAGACCTCAAAGGGCTTGGAGGAGGGAATGAGACACATGGAGGGGCTTGGGGGAATGGAATGAGGCACATGGAGGGGCTTGGGGGAAGGGAATGAGACACATGGAGGGGCTTGGGTCAAGGGAATGAGACACATGGAGGGAGGAATGAGACACATGAAAGGGCTTGGGGGAGGGAATTAGACACATGGAGGGGCTTGGGGGGATGGAATGAGGCACATGGAGGGAGGAATGAGACACTTGGAGGGACTTGGGGAGGGAATGAGAAATATGGAGGGAGGAATAAGACACATGGAGAAGCGGGGGGGGGGCAGAATGTGACACATTGGGGGGCCCCAGGGCAATTTTTGCACCAGGGCCCGGTGGTTTCTAGTTACGCCTCTGACTCTCAAGGTTATTTATTAAGGTGAGAGTTCAAAATTATTTTAAATAGAATTTTAAGTTGAAGGTCAATATAGCCAAATTGGAAAAAGTCAGTTTGGCTGTTCTAGCCTTAAATTTGAAATTCACTCTGCATTCACTTTCTATTCTCATTTCAGTAATTAACCCTGTAACCTTATCCTAAAAATGTTGTGTTGTATAAAAGATACATAAAGGTGAACCATGTATTATTGTAAAATAATGACATCTTGAGGTTCTGGAGTTATTTCTTAAAGGACCACTATAGGCACCCAAACCACTTCGGCTCAATTAAGTGGTCTAGGTGCTAGGTCTCTCTAGTTTTAACCCTGCTGCTGAAAACATAGCAGTTTCAGAGAAACTGCTATGTTTACACTAAGGGGTTTATCCAGCCTCTAGTGGCTGTCTCCCTGACAGCCACTAGAGGCCGCTTCCACGATTCTCAGTGGGAAAGTCACAGTGAGAAGATGCTGGACGTCTATAGGAAAGCATTGAGCAATGCTTTCCTATGGGCGGTTTGAATGTGCGCGCGGCTTTTGCCACGCATGCACATTCGACGCTGACGTCGGCAGGAGGAGGAGAGGTCACCAGCGCCAAGGAAGCCTGGCGCTGGAGAATGGTAAGTAGCTGAAGGGGTTTTAACCCCTTCAGCCCAGCGGGAGTGGGGCCCTGAGGGTGGGGGACCTAATAACCCTATAGTGCCAGGAAAAGGAGTTTGTTTTCCTGGCACTATGTCATGAGCTAAAATTATTTCATTATTTTATGCACAAGAAATAGTTGAAGCATACACACAAGTTAACAATCTTTTGTGCGTGCTGTGCTATCTCGTGAGCACGATCTACTAAATCGTGAGTACAAGATAGTATGAGGCATGCACGATGCGAAAACAAACAAACATTTCTGGTCAAGAAGTTAAAGGACTACTATAGTGCCAGAAAAACAAACTTGTTTTCCTGGCACTATAGTGTTATTAGGTCCCTCCCAACAAGATTCAGATTTGTAAATATGCTGGTTGGTGGGTGATGTGCATTCAAATTACTTAATTATTTTGAATACCCGAAGTGAAGTGGCTTTGTCATCTCCTGTGGTCCTTGCATATTGTTCAAAGACCTGCTATGGTGATATAGTTGATTGGTGTGCGGTGGCCTGGGGCTACAGTAAAGGTGAGCAAAAAATAGTACAGTGCGCACACAATGTCAAAATATATTTTATGTGGTACTTCTGGTTTTCATGGTTTACTATGATGTCTTCTGAAGCCCTATATGGCATTATTTTCCCATTATACACAGTTCACCATTATGTTTCCTCTCTATATACGAGAAGAAGAGTGGTAAGCCTGGAGTTGTACGAGGGGTTTTACTAGCCTATATACATATTCACATCTGACTGGGGGATGCAACGCATGGAAACGTATATAGTATGATTAAAATTAAATCAAGCTTTTGGTCCACCAATTTGGACTTTAATCAAGTATTTTTTTTAAAATATGTATTATAAACTCTTTTATACACATTTTTGTCAAACTGTTTATACTTTCACAATGTCAAATCATGATTCCACATTTCACTTTTACCACCTGGTAAATATAGTGACTATATATGGCTAGGTTTATGGGTTAAATAACTAGCAGGAACATTAAGCAGCCACGATAAGGTCATATAACCAAGGTTAAGCTTGGCAAGTACGTTTATCAAAAGAATACACTGTCTGTTCATTACAGTTCCCATAGTCTATAATATCAACGTTACAAGTTGGAAATCATTAAGGTAACTTGCTGTGGAGTCATCAATTGTATTCTTCTAGTGTCTGAAATCTATATGTAATTTTAAGAGGTATGGAATATTAGCTTTTCAGGACGACGCTATATCAATGTCTATTTTCCACTTTTCTCAACAAAATATTTAGGATTACATTATTTTATAGTGCACAAAAAGAGATTTTCCGTATACCAATATTTTTCTTTGCTCAATAGCAATAGCTATTTATGACAGCTTCCTTTATCTTTTATTATATTATGTGGTTTAGTGCATGCTCCCTCGCCTAGTAGAATTTGGGCAATATTTTAACTATTATTATATCACTTGATTTGGTATATTGACACTATTTGTATTTTTGCTGACTCAATTTGTGATGTATGTGAAAAAAAAATGAAAACTGGATTTTAAAGAGATTGGTAATGAAAAGACCCCAAATGCCCCATACATTTGTCCCAAATGTGACAGTGACCCAGCAAATCCCCACACTTTAACCCAGGATCTTGTTAAATAGTTGAGGTTCTCAAGATGGCGTATGTGAATAAAAACAGAAAGTAAATATAGCGCTTACTGTGGCATAAAATG